GAATTACATTGTATATATTTAAAGGGTCTTTGGCACCAATGTCTACCTCAGTTGCTAATTTTTATTGCTTTATTCACAAACATTGATCTTAGTATAACTGACAGTGTTAAATGCACACAATTATCTAGATTATTTTTAGAAAACAAATGTTAAATCATTTTTACAGATATTGCATATGTGTGGGTAATTCCATTATACAACTAAATAGTAAAAAGGAAAAAAAGTTTATTCATTTAATGGCACTCAAAATATCTTAAAAGCATATTTATTGACCTGAACTTGCAAACTTAGAAAAAATACTCCATGATAAATGGCTACTCTGCAAAACAAAATATAATTTATTTTGGGAGATAAAATTTGTTCCATATGCCAATGGAAAACCCCTTCCCTTAATTTTACTGCATACAGTAATATATTTTGCAACCTATAATAAGTAAAATTGCACATACTCCAAAAGCTATTCAAATATTTTCTCTATTTTACAATACCTCTTAAGTTGTTAATTGACTTGTACTCTTTGTTCAAATCCTTTTATGGTTTAATCTTAGGGGACTTACTTGCATTACTTTTAAACGCTCCTATAAAACCTGAGAGATATACTTAAAATTACTGAAGTTGAAACCATTGACCTGACTTTCAAAAATGAGAATGGTCTTAATTAAATAAATGGCCTACTCTTTTAAAACTACAGGTGAGAATGATCCATTGACCGTAATTGGAATTGTGAAAGTTTATTCACATGAAGTGCAATGTGTTCTAAACTTTAAAATTACTAAGCAATGGTGAAAGAGGAGAAGGGTTTGTATTAACTGTCTGAAGGTGTTTAAAAACCTGACACTTATCTTTTACTGCACAAGAATACTCCAAATCTCTGTTATTTTATAAATCGTACAAATAACAAAACAAAAAAACAATAGATTTTAATACAACAATAAGTCTACATATCACAGAATGTCTTCCATATGAAATCAGCTAGATTATCTCTACTCATATGTCAACCATAGGATAACAATGAAAACTAAAAATCATATTCAAAATAAATTGAATACCTTGAGCCATTGCTCATGTGATGACTTTGGCTACTTTATTTTCAAGCAAATGCTGAATATACTATCTACAAATAATCAAGGATTTTCTTAACAGTCTTAAAAGAGAAATTGTACAAGGACATCATCATAACATAAACAACTCTGCCATTGTTGTGGGGAAAATTCACCTCTAATTACATCCGATGGCCACCTCCTTAGCTAGAAGCACTGTTTCATATTTCTGCATTTTTTCCCAAACCTAACTTAATGAGGCACTGAGATGCAGCAAGCATTCAAGTATTACCGAATGGATAAATGGCCATTAAAGACATTTAAAGCATTGTAATAGATTTTTGTTTTTAACTCAGGAGGCCAAAGAAATCAATGTGCATCATATGTACATTTGATATAGCAGACATCCCCAAGGCATAAGTAATTGATCGTTTAGCAGCCCTCAAACTTACTTCATGGCATCCTAGAACTAATGCTATCCACGTGCTAAATTCTCTGCACTGCTGTGTCTAACTCAGTTTCCTTCTACTCAGATATCAGAATGCAACTAAAGTAGAGGTAGTTATATAAGGATAGCACTGAGATAATGCGTCTGTATCCATTAAATATATTAAATATCCTTTACATATCTGTTACACATACTATATATATATATATATGTGTATATGTGTGTTTTATACATTTATTACATATAGGTGTTGGAGGATATGTTTACCTACCAAAAGGTAACACAATATAAATTTAGGAGACCTATCTATCCATGGTTGTTTCAAAGAAAGTCTGTGGTATGGAATATACACTTTCTGTATCCTAAAAGGCTCATCAATATTTTCTCTTTCACAACGCCTTTCCATTCATTTATCATATGCCTCACTTATTTTCACATCAATCAATCATATTCTACTAAAGTTTACCTTAAAATTCAAAAAACAAGTATCAAGTAGAAAGTGTCTGTCTTCTCACAGTGGAACTCAATTCCCCCATCCTTTGTAGTATGCAACTCTAAATGAAGAAGACAGACCCCTTGATTCAGATTCCCCCAGAAGTGGAACTTCAGCTAAGACTGAAGGATAAGAAGTTTATTTAGGCATTGACTCCAGAAAGTAATAGTAGGGCAAAGGAATGTTCCAAACCAGCAAACTCGCAGTATTAAGCCAGTTATCAATGTGAAAACCTGGAGCTTAGTCCTCTTGGACACCAGGTAGAACAGGCTTCAGAATGATCTCAATCAAGAAGCAAGGCACCTGAGGTATTTATTAAACAATTCCCTACTTACTCAGGGGCACTTTGGCTTGCTCTCCACTATGCAGGTGTAGTATGCTTCTGAAGTTAGCAGGGGAGAAGAGAACCTCAGAAACAAAGCATTCATAGAAAGTAGCATAAGGAACAAGAGCAGAGCACTTAAAGAATTAGTTGGTGGAAGCTGTCTACCTACTCATATCTAAAAGTCTTCTGTGTTCAACTCTGTAGGAAATCCATCCAAGATGATAACTGAGTAGAATAAGATTGCTACTCAGATTTAATTGCAAAGAGGAATCTCTCACCTTATTAAAGATAAAAGAGATGGCTTTACCTACTGCAAATTAGTTTAGGATCCTGGAAGAAAAAAAATTCAAACTACAAATCAGAAGTGAAGAAGGGAACCAATATTTAATGAATCATGCTAGGTGCTATAATATTATTGTCACAAATTCAATGAGTTAAGGGGAAAAACTGAAAAGTTTCCTTTTTTCTTGAGTTTCTTGAGAAATTTGAGTCACAAAGAATTGAGCGCAAGTCATATTTATCCTAAGATATATGAACCAAGAAAAATAGTTAACTTCCCAGAATCTCAGTTTCCTTTTCCGTAAAATACCTACAATTCAGGGATTATCTGATGATTGACTGAGATAACACACAGCACAGTAAAGCACTTGTCAGTCTTAGTACCAACTGTTAGTCCTGTGCCTCTCCTTCTTCCTTCTTGTCACAATTTTATGAGATAGATATTTATGAGGCATATATTCCCACTACAAAAATAAAATCACTGCCTCTCATAATGGCTAAATTAGTTTCTCAAGACTACTCAGTAAGATTGAAATCTGGGGCTGAGTCTAAGGATCTTGCCTTCAAAGATTAACAATTAAGATTTAGTTTGGAACCCAATTGGCAGTATTAATTTTTATAAAACCACAAAATCAGTTACATCTTTTCAAATGGTCAAACATTTTAAAATGTTTAATATTTAATTGTGTAGTAAATGTGGCTTAATTTTTAAGTTAAAAGTTGGGCTAGCATAAGTTCTATTACAGTAGAAATTTTAAATGACTGTGCAAAACTTTTCAATATATCAGTGATTTCTTTAGGTCCCATTTAAACAAAAGACTTAACTACTGACATTATCTGCAACATCCTTAAAAAAATAAGGGCAAACACATGAATAATTAACATCTTGGATAGTACACTTAAAAAGCAAACCTTGGCCAAAGTATGCCCTTCTTGTAGTCAACCCACCTCACACTTTCTACAATGAAGATTTCCATTCTACTTGATGATTCTAAGGTATTGAAATAAATGTAAATTCAATCTCAATAAACATTAATCTGCCTTTGAACAATCATTTAACTAAGCTAATACAGTTTATCTACATGTCAATTAGCGTTATAAACTTGTTTAAATATTCTTATAATTATATGCAGTTAACCAGAATACCCTAATTCACAAGCATTCTGAGTAATACCTCAGGTTATTTCTTCATTAAATTTTTAACCAACATATACATTTTTGCCTAAAAAGAAGAGATTTAATTGAAATATTATCCTCTACAAAATATCCATTTTAAATTAGTAATATGAGATCAAGGAAGATGTTCATAACTGATGTCCAAGATAAAGTCCCCAGTTACTGGATTAGGAGTTAACATTGGAAGTCCATCAGGTAAGGAAAGGAAGAAAGGTGTGCTGCACAGTGTGACTGCAGGGGGATTCCTAATTGGACCAATAGTGGATCTTTTATTTAATTCAAACAGAACATTAACACCAAACTGAACTTCAGGAAAGCATTTCAACTGAACTCAGAGCTAAGTTAGCACACATATTATTTTAAAAACATGTGTGGCATGTGATACATGAAATGACTATTCCAGAAAATACTGAATTCAATGAAACACAGTGCTCTTTAAATAATGAGACAGAGATACCAAGAGATATTTCATAAGTTCAACTGAACAAAGCAGCAGTGCGATTGCTAAAACACATGAGCGATATTTTCCTCATAATTATTCTAGTTGTGAAACTTTATTTTGAGACAAACTGTTTAGGTTAAAATTATACTAATCATAGAAAGGCATCATGCTATAGAGACATCATTATCAGTCACAGTTACCTGTTCACAGTAAATATTTTCTAGGTTAGTGGTTATTATATCCACCAAGTACCTGTTACGTATTTAAAACCAACTGTCTACCTAGAACTCCAAATGTTTAAACAGTATAAAATTTCTACTGACAAGTAGACACCTAGTCAAGAAAAAGCTGACAAGAAATAAGGGAATAGGTGCAGGGGATTTTAAGTTTCCAAAGTGCTTTTTCCATCAACTTGGATAAATTTTTGAGATGGATTAACCACACCTAAGAAAAACAGTGAAAATTCTCAGGCACTGATACTGCGTGCCATTTGGATGCTGGTACCTCTGATAACAGCCTTATACACACCAGAGGAAAGCACAGACAGACAAAGAATTAGCATCGAATAAATGCAATAAATACATTGCAAGAATAAGAAAGTGGAAAGGCAAAGAGTTCCTCATCTATAGCAACTGGCTCTATAGACTCAAAATGGAGAGACACGTCAGAGTCCCTTTTACTCCCTCGCCCAGTGTTCCCGTCTCCCTTTCGGCTCTCTCCATCCCCCTCTCCAGCCCTCCCATCTCCGTCTCTTTTTCAGCAGTATTTACAGAACAACACTGCACCACACCACTCACCTGTCGTCGTTTTGCCATCCTTGGTCCCCTAGCAGCAAATCCCGAAACCTGTACCTGGGAGGCAGAGGGGGCACTTCGCTCTCCAAATCAACCATTCTTCCTCAAAGAGTGGGAAACATCAAACAACAAACGGGGGAGAGGAAGGAGAAAGAAAGAAGATGTTGCGGGGGTAGAGCGAGGAGATGGGTAGAATGCTAAGGCCAAAAGAAAGAGGGATGCGAGGAGGGGAAGGGGACGGGAGGGGGAGGGGTCGGCTTAGCGCCGGAAGCCGAGGCTGGAAAGGGGGCTGGCTCCTCTCTCCCCAGGGTGTGATGAGATGATGCAAACCCAGCCCTGGAGCAAAAGTCTGGCTCCAACTAGAATCAACGCTGCCAAGGAACCGCCCCCAGGCTCGGCACCGCCTCTGGTCCCCAGGACTGGGGGGGAGGCGGGATGCAAAAGTTACTTCTCCGGGAAATAAAAAAGAAAAAACGCGCGGTGCCTAGAAAGAGGGCAGAGGGGTGGAAGTTAGCGCCCTGAGAAGGTGAGGCACTTTCCTAAAGGCAGGTAAAAGAGCCTCCAGCTAGGGCATCCTCGGGGCTGTAGGTCCCCGGGGAGGGCGTGCAACCAGCAGGGCCCAGGGAAGGCAGGAGGAAACCCGGTGGGGTTTTAGCCCCAGGAGCCGCCAACCCGGCTCTCCCTGCACTCGTCCCTCGGAGCTGTTGCTGGAGGCCCAGCCAATGAGCCTTCCCTTCATTAGCATAACACAGTGACGGAATGGGGGTGCCTGGGGACAACCAATGGGGGTGAGCTAATTAGCGAATTCCGGGGCTCCAGACCCTTCTCTGGGTAGCGGGGTGCAAGGTGCCCAGAGCGTTCCTGGAGGCTCCTTGGCTTGGGTAGCCTTCAGCGCGGGTGGGCGGGGTGGAGGATGCATGTTCTTTGAGAGGGAATCCCCGCTCTCAGAAGCAGGAAAGCCCCATTTTTTTCTCACTATCTGAAAGAAGGAGGTGTTTCCCGGATCTCCGGGGAAAAAAATGCATGGCCACCTTAGGCCGCCACTGAAGAAAACCATTTAGATGATGACTGGCAAAGCATATTGAAAGGCAGAGAGAATTATATAGTGGTGAACTACTATTATGGATTTTTAGCAGTATGTGCACTTCCATGTTGCATGACCTTAATTTTAGGTGTGCTCCTATTAGTGATTTACAATGTCAGAGGAAGAGGCAACCCAAGAACCCAGAGTTTGCTATGCATTACCAACCATTGCTTATATGAACCCTGCTATAGAAGCTTTACATTGACACATACTGTTCTTTCCATAGGGAACTGATTCCATCAGGTACATACAGACACAGAAATACTTAAATCACTTGACAATTGTGCCTGAGGAAACGACATTAACCACTGCCCCATCTTAGAAATTTCACACTTTGCTTGGAGGGACAAGCTCATAAAGAAAATGATACAATATGGGAGTCAATAATCAAAGAATATGCAAAGATATTTCAGAAATACCTGTGCAATAACACACTTATTCGTCTTGTGGTCAAGGAACACAATGAAACTAAACTAAGCCTTCTTTATTCATTTGCAATCTGCTTAAGGGAAGGGAAAAAATATGAAAAATGCAGAGAAAATACAATGAGTAGAGATAAAGTGATTTTTTAAAAAAAAATTTAATTTTTTTGCTTATCAAGGAAATAGTGATTAATTTAGTATGATTAACTCTCAGTAGAGGTCAAGTAGCAGAAAGTTTATGAAGTTGAAGTGCAGAAACAAGTTGGCAAAAGAGTATCATCAAGTGAAATGGAATAAGCATCTAAACCTGGAGAATAACAATTGAAGGAGATTGATTATCTCCTTTGCTTTAATCTTCAAACTAGATTCCTCTAGACCCATCTCAAATGACATTTCCATTATATTTCTTGATTTTTGCAGGTGGTTAATCTTCCTTCAAGCCTTAAATGGTTTCATACTTATTGTGAGCATTTTGCTTGTTATTTTTTAAACTTTTGCATGACTATCTATACATTTTTCTTAAATCACTTCCCCTCTCCTTGTGGCTTATCTTTCTAGCACAGTGCCTTCAAAATATCAAAATCTTATCAAATGTCTTGAGATGCACTGAACACTATTAAGCATCCAGGTCCAGGGACACATACCTGTAATCCTAGCAATGCTGGAGACTGAGGCAGGAGGATTGCAAGTTACAAACCAGCATCAAAAACTTAGCAAGGCCCTCAGGGACTTAGTAAGACCCTGTCACTAAACAGGGCTGTGCATGTGCTCAGTAGTAAAATGCCCCTGGGGTCAATACCCAGTACCAAAAAAAAAAAAAAAAAAATCTATTAAGCCACTTACTTTAGTTCCAGAGTTATGTATCTGTTCATGAAATCATTATTCATCATGAACATTTGTAATCATTTTGCCAAATGAGAAAATTATATCGTTACATTATTAGTTTGAGAGAGAGAATATATCTGGTTTAGAATTTGGACCTTATCATCTGCTATTAACATGGCTCTAGGAAGTTTATTCTTTTAATGTTCCAGGTTAATATTTATATTATGAAAATTTTTACTCACATATTTGGACAACTCAAAACTCTAAAATATTTACAATCATTAGCAGACTCAGAAAGAGAACGCTAAAAAAAGAGGAAAGGGTAGTATAGCTACTGAAAGTTAGAAACATGAGATGCTGAAAGTTAAGAATAAAGCAACAATTTACTTGAAAGAAAACTGCACACCTTATTTTACACTTTTGTGTCAATCTCAATTATTTAGCTTCTATGTGCCAAGATAAAAGTATAGGAGAGAGCATGTAATTAATTAATTAATTAAATCCTTCTCAGCTAACAGTGTCATAACACAGCTGTTATGCATGATAACAGTTACCAAGTGCCCCAGTGTGCTGAACCAAACTAGTTGAACACAGCTGCATCAATGATACATTGATGTGCTCTATGCCTTAAAATTATGAAAATGAAAAATCTCCAAATTTTAAATTCAAGAAAAATTTTAAAACAACACAACCTAAAAAATAATATCCTGACATTCTTAACAATTTATAAAATTGGGGTCATCAAAAGTTAAATTCATATCCTTTCACTTTCTATATATTTACTGTCTTCTGTAGGCAGACTTTTTATGTTTGTCATTGATTTTGACTTCTAGTTCTACTACCTGTCTTTCAACGATTTTATTCTTTTATTCCTTGTCATGTCATTCCCTGCTGTTAAAATGTATTTTCCTCTCATACTCTTTTCACCTTGCTTTCCTTTTTTCCCTGTATGCTTTTAATCTTTTATTTCATTGAGTCTTTTTCTGTGTGTGAGAGAGAAAGAGAGGGAAAGTTTTTCTTCTACTATGACATGAGATTCAATTTTTGGAAACAATTTTAAAAATGGTTCTGTAACATTGCAAATCTGTACCTTACTGATGTTCTTAAGTTTTCTAACCAATATCTAGCATGGCTTAAGAGCAATACAGGAGATTGGTTCACTTCTGAAAAAAAGAGAAGTTAAAAAAAAATTCTGAATGATTACACTGATGGACTGGAGAGTAAGTGTCAAGAATGAGAATTGAGCCTGGTGCTGTGGCTCACACCTGTAATCCCAGCAGCTCCAAAGACTGAAACAGGAAGATAGCAAGTCCAAAGCCAGACTCAGCAAAAGTGAGGCGCTAAACAACTCAGTGAGACCCTGTCTCTAAATAAAATACAAAATAGGGGTGGAGATGTAGCTCAGTGGTTGAGTGCCCCTGAGATCAATCCCCAGTACAAAAAAAAAAAAAAAAAAAACTGAGAATTAAGGAAAATGATTTCTTAGTTATAGAAAATTTAATTTTACTGGGGCTGTTGTAGCTCAGTCGTAGACCACTTGCCTAGCATATATGAGGCACTGGGTTTGATCATCAGCATCATGTATAAATAAATAAAATAAAGATCCATCAACAAAACTAAAAAAAAAAAAAATTTTTTTTAATTTAATTTTACTTTCCAGAAAATAAATCATCTAATTTTTCCCACTTTTAACAAAAAACATCAATTTCTTATTTTTGATTTCCAGGAAATTGTTTGGTTATTCAAATGTCTTAACATAAAAAAGAAAATGATCATTTCTGTGGGTAAAGAATGATTTTATTAACAATTAATAATTTATTGGTAATTATCTTATGCATAACAAACATAATTGCAATCATAGAACATTGACAGAATTTGATCCAAAATTCAAAAGTATATGTATCTTGCATAGATACATATAATTTTTATGATAAAATTCCACAAACTATTAATTATTGTGTCTACACAGCCCTGTAACAAACTGTCCAAAAAAAATTTTTTTTTGCAATGCTTGAGATAGAAACCCAGTCACACATATAACTATGTAAGCACTCTACATACTCTAAGCCCCTCAAAAACAAAATTTAAAAAGAAAAAAATATTATATATATTAGGCTACATACTTCCTAAATGCTTTATCTGTAAACGCAAAAAAAAAAAAAGGATAATCCACTCAAATAATCTCATTAAACTCCTTAACATCTCAGACTGAATGCATTCTATTATTTTTTTTTTAACAAAGATTTACTAAACGGTTACAATGAATTAAGTTTTCAAAGTCACCCAGATGAAGGAAAGGAAGGTTAAGAGAATAGATCATCCAGGTGTCAGAATAGAAAGCAATGGGTCACAGTAGTGATCTAGACTGGCTGCTGTGTTACTAAGGAGCAGGTAGAAACACCTAGTTCCAGATTTGGAAAAAAAGGTAGTGGGGGGATGGGAGCGAGGTTCTGGCAGAGCTGCCATCTGTACTGAAGAATGACAATGAGTGTGTAAGGTGGGGGCAGAAGGTGACAGCAACAGTACAGCTAAAACTAATTGCTTTAAGAAGGCCTGGGTGATTCCAGCAAATGAAAGGTATCATATAGTTTCTGTTTGGGTACATATTTAGGTAGAGGAGGGACAGAAAAGGAGGGAGGAAAATGGCAGGAAGAAGGCAGCTTACCTTGTCTTCATTTATTAAGTATATCTTAGGGGATTTGTATACCTTTGCCAATGAGTTTAATGAACCTCTTGAGGATTTTAAAGTAGGTAAATGAAAAAGCCCAATTCACACTTTGAAAATGTCACCTGTAGTGGTAGAGCCAATTGATTGGT